GAAAATAAATAATATATTCTTACCAACATTAGAGTCGTGTTCTTTTTTGGGTGTTTTATACCCGTTTTGCTTGAATATATCGATCATCTCGAACTTCATGGACGATATGTCTTGTCGTATTTCCATCACGTCGTCTTCAGTAATTCCAAATTCTTCACTCTTGCGTTGTTCCGCAGTCACATASCGTCTTACCAATAGCCGCATAACAATATCATGCCGAGCTGACGCCTTTTCCCTGGACTTAAACTGTAATCAAATGCAATTACATCAATATTTTATAACTAATACTTTATAATGCAACAATATTTTATTTGAGCATCATTACAATCATTGACCCGGATGTCCGGTCTGACTTCTCGAGACCTATCATACGTTTGACATTTTTTAGTGAAGGAAAMAGATTAAAGGGGGCAGGCACKGTGTCTCCGTCTTCAAAATATGAAATCCACAATGAACTACGAGCGAACTTCCATTCCATGTCAGACCGTTCCTTCAAGATAAAAACAAAATATTATTWATGTAACTGAAAGTTTATTAAATTCCGAGTATTACCGAAATTATTTGATATGAATTGGACATCATAGCGATAAGCATGTTCAGCAAAACGATTATGTTGATTACCGAGTATGATCCGAACAGTAGTAGACCCCAAAATCTAGTGAAACTCTTAATTCCGGTTAGGTCAAATGCTGTCAAATCGACAAGTCCAAAACCAGCCCAAAATAGAGATTGAGAAGTTTCAAATATACTGTGAAAAGCGACAAAGTTTCAACATCATAAATATATTTTCATGACGCAAAAAATACCTATTTAAAATTTATATRTATACGTGCTATTAGGTTTTATTTACGCATTTATAATGAATACAAAAAAAGGACAGGAGGAAGAAAAGGAACCTTATTTAATGTCCCTGTTARACGCAATGGTAAATAGTATGTTGAAATTTCATATTTTCATTATAAAATTTTCAAGTAGGCAATAGATATTCAAGTTTTCCAATAAACTAATTGTAGTTTCATATACATATTATAGGCAGATATATATGCATTATTTATCTAGGGATGTTTAATCCATACAGRAACCTATATAGTAAAGATAATTTTAAATATTATAGATTTTTTTAACCAATTTGGTTGAAGTTCATTGACTTAATAAAATAATATATTACAAAAATGTATTAATATCAGTGGCACRTTTAGAGGGGAGTGGAGATTAGAGCCCCCTTTCCCCAAAATGTATGGTTGGTAAAGGCGTTAATTGTATAACTAATAAGAATTTAAGAGGAAGTGTTCTAATATTAATTTTGTTTTGGAAGTATCTATTAAAAATACCTAATTCAACATTTTCAAAACTTCATCATAACTATATAGCATTATAGACACGACAAATACTTAATATTTTAGATAGGTGCTATGTATACCTTCATTATCTAGTTTGATATGTTGAAAGACTTAAATTCTTATTACTAACTGCACTAGTTCATTAATCATAATTTAATTTATTTTCCAATATATTATAATTCATAGGATATACCTAAATATATAGCATATAGGTATACAAAGTTCTATCGTGGTTCGTAGAACCAATGTATGTACCTATGTAGGTATGTACTCGTATGTATGTATATACGTACGTACGTATGTATGTATGTATGTATGTATGTATGTATGTATATATGTATGCATGAATGTACCTATGTATAATGTATGTATATGTATGTATRTATGTATGCATGCTTGTATATATATGTATGTTGTATGTGTGTATGTATATATGTATGCATGATTGTATATATATGTATGTTGTATGTATGTATGTATGTATATATAATGTATGTAGGTATGTATATCAGAATGTATGTTTATGTATTCTGATAACACCTATCATAATATCGTTGATTATATAAACCAGAGGTTTTGAACCTTTTCGAACGCGTACCTTCAAAGAATATTAATATTAATAAATCATAAATAGTCTTTTATAATACTTAAAATATAATACATAATACATAAACTTTATTATAACTAAATACTAACTTTAYAATACATAAAATAAAATGTATCCAATAAAAATCGATAGACCTCAATAGCTCATGAATAAGGAAATCACGTATATGGACAATTTAATAATTCGTTATCAGATAATAGATTGGGTACCGAACAAATAAAAACATTTGATTTTCAAAATAAGTAACTTTTATAATACGAAAAACCGTTTTGTTTATAATTTTTTATGACTTTCAAACCATCACTCGATCTCTAGGTTGAAAATCATTAATATAAACAACTACTGTTTAGTACCTAAAGATCATACCTTATACCTTAGTTATGACTTATAACTTTATAATTTTATAAGACTCATCAATAAAAATGTCTATTCGATTAAATTTACACACACTACCCACAGATTATAGAGTTTTACTCATTTTATTAGTAGATTTAAATTGGTTGATATCATTATAGGGTAATATATAATATAGGTACATTAATTTACGTTTATTTAAGTCAAATAAATTGAAAATAACGTATACAAACTTGGCGAATCGCCTCCACGTCGAACAGGCCTTTTCTTCTTTTTCGAAATCAGCAATGTCACTGTTGTCGTGGTAACATTTTTTCGACTCCAAGTCCGCGTAGTACCAAAGCAACTGATTTAAACCTAACACGAACGAAATGAAAAACAAAGAGTATCAGCTCTCTACATCACTAATTGATGAAACTATAATATTATTACAATCCATATAAAATAATAGAATTTTTAATACAAAATGTCATCAATCAATAAATCACAATAATAAAGTAAATGCTAAATATTATAAATATATTACCGCATCCGAATGCGCAAAGCACCAATGTGTAGATGAAAAAGAATTTTATGATGTCGATAATCATACGACCCAACGATATCTGAAGTGGTCCCAGGTGAGGGTTTACGCTGAATATATGCACGAGCTTTAAGAAACTATAAAACGTCAACGAAATATTAATGTAATCTCAGAAGCCATATGGATTATAGCTAACCMATCTCTGCAGGACAATACTTAATATATTGGCTTATATTCATTATTTTTATTATAATATATGTGTATATAGATACGATTTTATGAGGGCTCACGCATCACGCGAATAACGTTCTTCGAGCCTATTGGTTAGCCATAACTTTAATGTCTACACATTTTCGATATATTTTAAAAAACTATCTCAAAACATTTAATTTCTCGATTTGATAAACGTTGTCTTAACTTGTTCGTTGATTATCCGAGTCTTATCCGCAATATCGTTATATTATTAATATATTATGTTATCGTCAATGTCTTAATGATGTTCTTAAACTTAAACTTAAAGTGGCACACATGTCGATAAATGATCGACAATTTAGGTGACCAGTTGTTGGAATATTTTCTACAATTTGTAGAACATTCATTAAAAAATTGTGAATAATTTTTCAAAGCTATAGCTAAGCTTATGCCAATGGCGAATACTTAGTCCAACACTTCAAAAATTATCCATTACGGTTCTCGGTTATTGTTGGAAAACTGCAGTAACGCCAAAATATAAACTTACCTACGACACTGTCATAGTTGATATTGATATGTATGTCTTTGTTATTCTAAATATTTTACGATAATTTTATTATATACAATACAATTAATTGTGAGCTAGAAGTCAATAATATTATACTAAAACTATACTTACTGTATGGTAAGGTAATAAGAAATAATAAGAAATAGGTGGGTGTCAAATATTTTTGTGGCGGTGACTCATGGGTAAAATGTTGGACTTCAGCGCCACTGTTGGTAACGTCCTATACTATTTGTTGGATCTCAGTTGGTTCTATACGATTTTTTTTTTTTTGAAAATGTCACTTACTTAATAGGTATTTAGTATTTACTAAAAACTCCCAAAGCCACTCAATATTGTTTGCTTATTTTTTATTAAAATAAATAAGGCTCGGCGTCTATGGATATTGGAATACTAGGAGTTTTAACTTTTTAAGGTTGACAATTTCTTTGAATATACATAAGCAAATATTACAGATTATAAACTATTGATAAGATTGGTATTAATTAAAAAGGTCATCATGTGACTTATGTTATCTGGATGGAGAACTTCCAACATGATATTTGACACCCAAGCTTATTCTCATTTGTACGTTTCATATAGGAACTGAGTTTACTGATGTTTGTTGGATATAGGTAGTTGTAAAAAATAAAACTGAATGTTTTCATAGAATCTAGTATTGCTAATTATTACCCTGAGATCACAATTTCAATAGGATATTTACCTATATGGCTATAGG